TTGGAAAGCTTCAGCCCAGATCTTGCCCTTTCTATGTCTGACGTTGTGTGTGCTGTTTGACTTGTTGTCATCGTCATGCAGTTTGCACTGCCTTTTGGCAAAGGGAGGAACAAGAGCAGGCAATGTTTTACAGAGGACAGTATCTGGCTATGGAAAAACTGCAGCATGACTCATTTTGTGTAAATGACACTAAATTACAACTGCATGCCACATGAGAGATGGTAGCTGGGCTCGAATCAAAAAAACACCCTCATGCAGAAGGGGTACTCAAGCATGTGCTTAATTTAAGAACATACTTAATCAGGGCCTTTGGGTTTAAAAGGTTAATGATTATTCTTGTGTTGCCAAGAAAATCCAAGTGACATCCAGAAGATCTATTACTCAAGAAAATGTAGTCTTTGTTTAATCTTTCAATTTCTAAAAGTATTTTTTTTTTAAATTTCTCATTGCTTGCCAGTGCTGTGAATTCTTTCACAGCTGTTTTACACTTGATTGTTATTGCCAAGTGGAATCAGCAACTGCAATCTTGTTCAGATAATAATTATGGAAGATCAGTCCTTCATCTGCTGCTTTTCTCCATTCTCATTAAACTTCCCAGCATGTAAACATATGCATGTTTGACTTTGCAGGGAAAGCTAGCCACAGTAGAAGAACCTTTTCCCTCTTGTACACACTGTTTAATCATTTCAAAACAACAATATCCCTGTTCCTAATTTTTTCAATGTGTAAAACTTTTTTCTCTATATAACTGTGTATTGCTGCAGAAATTAGAGATGGCATATATGATTTTAAGTATGCAATATGGTTGGGTTTTTTTTTTAAATGACAAGTGACTGTCTTTATTAGCTAGCATCCATTGATATCCTGAATCTATGTCCCGGTCCGTCAAAGGCTAGCATCCATCAAAGTCCCAAAGTTGTTCCAGTAAAAGCAGGTGAGCTCTCATCCAATTGCTATATTACTCAAATGACCAAGCAAACAGCAGGAGCAGCAATGCAGAAGGTGGCTGAAAGCTGCTCCTGCTGGACCAGATCCTGCTGCCCTTCACCATGGGGATGGTGCCTGCCTGTGCAGGCACATTGTACCCAGCCCAGGAGAGGCTCCCTGTCCCAGTGTGACCAGGGCAGATGGCAACTGATGTCTTTGGTTTCCTTGGAAAATACAAGTGCTCCAAGTCATGCAGCTACTCCAGACTCATCAGCTGTGAGAAGGCAAGCTTTGGTCTATGTTGACCACATTTCATATTTTCATACCCAAACCTTTTGATCACTGTACAGAAGATGTCCCATGAACAGGCCTAGACTTCACCTGCCTTAAGGACTCTGGACACCAGCCATACAACTGGGATTTTCAAAGAGTATGCAGGAAGCAGGGGCCCAAGTGGATTTCCCACCTCTACCCTGTAGGAGATACTCAGCTTGCTGCCCATGGAGCATGGCCTCATTCTTGAAATACTATATTGAAAGCTATTTAGGCACCTGTTTTAAGAGAGATTCTTGGGCCAGGAGATAAAGAAGAGCTGTTATTGGCTGTAAGGTAAGTGCTTGTTCATTTATTGACTTTACGTTAAATCCTGTCCATCCTCCTCAGGCAATTACCCTGAAACCAATGTAACTGTCGGCAAAATAAAGCAGTTGGATTTTGGCCCTCTTTAGAAGACAAAGACCATAAATCTAGCTGCCAGCACAAATTCGGTTGCTAAACCCAGGGATTTTCCTGAGGGAAAAACACAGTAAAGATCTGTGGCATAGAACTAGGGAAATGGATGGGCAGAAAGGAAAGGAAATTTAACTTCATTTAACTCTGATACTTATTGTTAGGGTAGATATTCAACTGGAAATCAGTAAACCATTTGTTCTCAGCTTTGCCAGTGATTCCCTCTCTGACCTTGGTGATAATCCTTAAACACTCACCACCTCTCTCAAAGCTGTGGTTAGATATAATTGTGTGTGGCTTTGAGATTGAGCAACAAGGTACACCAGTGAGTGCAAGTTACTATGTTTAAAAAAAGTGGATAATGGTGATAAAACGTCTTAGTGAAAAGCTATGAAAACAGTACAGTAAGCAATGTGACAAAGGAAGAGGTTTTTTTCAGGTTTTTCACCTCTAGTTTCTTTTCCTTTTTTGAACAATATATCTTAATCCTGCTCTATGGATGTAGCATGAGAGTTATGTGTGCAGGAGTCTGAAATCACTTTGTTTCTAGTTTTCTTTCATACATTCAGTAATATAAATAACTGAAGAGGATATTTCTTAATCCATAAAACAAAGTGACATCATAATTTATTAGTACAGAAGACATAGTTCATTGCTGTTAAGTGCCATAAAGAGCTGGAAATAGAGTAGTTTCTCAGAAGGCATTTCAAATACATCAAAGGAAAGATTTCCCTGCTGCTATTCTCAGCATGTGTAAGATCTTCTCCCAAGTACTTCAACATTTTGGTTATTCCCCCCCCTAAACTACTCTGCAGCATTCAAAAGCATCTTTGTTGGTGATTTCCCCAACATCTGATGCCTTCTTCCTGCCTGCCCTGCTCCTCCCAATGCTTTGCTCCTGTCATTTGCTGGAACTGACTCCTCTATGGGAAGGAAAATAAAAAAAATACATAGCCAAATGGTGGGGACAGGACTGGCTGCCCCATTTATGCTGTTCCCACTGATGTTGGTGGGGCAGCAGCACAAGCCCATGTGTCCTCATGGTGACCCTGTAACAGTGGGGACATGGAGCTGCACGCACAGAGGAAGGATTTCAGTGGCCCTGATGCAGCTCCAGGCTCATAGGAGGGCAATGCATCAGGTTGTATGCACTTGGGCCCCAGATCAGCAAAGCATTTAAGCATCTGCTTACCCCTAAGCTTTTGAGTAATTCCTCTGGCATGAGCTAAGCACAGGCATGGTGGCAGCCTCCTGCTTCCTTCAGTCTTCCCTTGTGAGGACGCATGCACTGCGGCCCAGTTGAACGCATGGCTGCTGGCATTGCCTCCGGCACTGGACTGCTCACCACTCACCTCTTCTTGCTCTCTCCTATGCACAGGCCTCATATTAGCTGTCTAACTGCAGACAGCAGTCCTGCTGGCCCCTCCGTGAGTGAACCCCTGGAGAGTACCACCAGTGTCCAAGAGACTCTGCCAGGACTGGATTCAGTTGCAGAAAAATTTTAGAGTATTCCAGGAAAAAAACAACACTTCTGTGGTGTGCTGTCCCCAAGCATCACCATGAGGTAACATATGGACAAAGTGCAGTGATCACGTGTCTAAAATAAGACCTCTTAGGTAACTGGGTTTGTGTGTGTGGCAGGGTTTTGGTAGCCAGGGTTGGGGGGGAGAAGGTGGGAGGGAGGAGGGGAGAAGAAAGGTCTACAGACGGTGGCCCCTGTGAGAAGCTTCTCGAAGCTCCCCTGGCTCCAAGTCAGACCCGCCTCCAGCCAAAGCTGAGCCAAGTAGTGACAGTGGCCATGCGTCTGCAATAATGTATTTAAGAAGGGGAACCTGTGAGGAGGATTTGGAGTTGTGAGGAAGCATTGCAAGGAGGATACTGATGCAAACACTGAGCTCAGTGGAAGAAAGGAGGAGGAAGGGGGAGGGGCACCAGAGCTGAGACCACCTCTGCAGCCCATGGAGGTCACCAGTGGAGCAGATGCCAACGTGCAGCCTGTGGAGGACCCCACACCGGAGCAGGTGGCTGCACCTGAAGAAGGCTGGGACTCTGTGAGAAGAAGCCCCTGTTATTGTATTTCAGCTCTGTGATGACTGCAACACGTTGGCATGACCCATGCTGGAGCATCTTAGAAAGAGCTGCAGCTGTAGGAAGGACTCATGTCAGAGAAGATCATGGAAGACTGTCTCTGTGAGAGGGACTCCATGCTGGAGCAGGTGAAGAGTGTGAGGAGTCCTCCCCCTGAGGAGCAAGGAGCAGCAAGACTGATAGCCTCCCCACATTCCCTGCCCCCCTGTGCCACTGGGGGAGAAGGGGGTAGAGAATGGGAGCAAAGCTGAGCTCAGGAAGAAGGGAAGGGTGGAAAGAGGTGTTTTTAAGATGTGGTAATGCTTCTCATTGTCCTACTCTGTTAAGTGTTGCTGTTAGTGTCTGAATTAAATTGATGTTCTTTGTCTTTTGCCTGTGACCATAATGTGTGAATCTGTCCTTATCTCCATTCGAGTCTTTTGCTTTATTTTCTCCTTCCCATTCCTAAGGGGGAAGTAGTGAGTGTGCAGCTGCAGTGCTCAGTTGCCCTCTGGGCTCAAACCACAACAGTAGCATAAACACGCATCCTAGTATGGATAACTTGCACCCCTGGAAACTCACTTCAGTGCATGTTCAGTTCCATGCACTACCAGTACCAGTGCAGAAGCACCAAGTCCTCATCACTGGTCCCTGTTTGCCTCATCATAAAATATGCCTAACTGCTTTTGCAACTTTTGGGAAGAGACAGGATTCCTTTTGGCTCCCCAGGATATTAACTTTAATTTTTATTTGTGTTAATTTCATACTTTCCATGGACATATTCAACTTCCTCCCACTGAAATACACCTATTTAATCTGATTCAGCTGGTATATGAAACATGCCCATTGTGTGCATGGTGCTGCGTGGGTTCAAGGTACATTTTGCATGCCAGTAATCCCCAGGAGAGCCAAGGGTGATGAGCTCCTACCTGCCCGCTCACTGTGCACATAGGCACAGGCACTTGGTTGCTCCGGGCTCCCTGGTGAGACAGATTTCCCTCCTATTCATCAGCTGATGATGCAAACTTTCTGCATGCTATTTACCTGTCCAGCTCCTCCACAAACATGCATACACGTGTGTGCTCACACCTATGTAGCCCTAGTGGCACGCATGCTCAGATGTGTGCGCGTAGCCAGTTCCCTGTGCAGAGCTGGTGCCTGCACGTTGGCAGTTCACTACCCCCCTTGAATCCCCCTCTTCTCTGAGCTATATGTGGCATTTCGAAGCTCTGACAATCTGCTCCAAATGTTTTCCATATTTGTTCAGCCTCCTTGATTCAAATACCAGGAACAACTCAGCCAGCACAAAGAGAAGCTTTGGGGGCAAAAAACCCCACACCCCCACCAGCGTGCACACACACACACACACACACACACACACACACACGGAAACCTAAAGTTCATCAGGATGGGAAAGGAGAATGAGAAGAAATGCCAGCACAGCACGCCCCTGAATAACCAGACCCAGACAGGGAAGACACCCAAAGAGAAGAAAAGCACTGACTCGAGCAACATGGAGTCCGCAATGAAGAAGAAGCAGAAGAAAACCAAGGGGGATCCCAAAACTGGACAGGAGGAGGAATCCCACACTTGTGGCTGCCGTTTCCCACTGCTGTTTGCTTTGTTGCAGCTGGCATTAGGCATCTCTGTAACAGTGCTGGGCTTCCTTATGGCAGGCATCAGTTCTTCTCTGCTAGTCAGAGACACTCCATATTGGTCTGGGATAATTGTAAGCATAAAGTCTGTTTCTCCATAAAGTGCCTTTGCCAACACTAATGCAAGCTGCATGATGCTCCACTTTAGACTAACCAACTGCATGCACAACACCATTTGAGTTATGCTAGCTATAAATATTCCTGGTATTAAATGTCTGGGTATACTTTCCCAAGGAAACTGCTCCTGCAGAATAACACACTCTTTCGTATTCTGCCCTGAAATATCCAACAGACCTTAAATAAAATACAGGGTTGCTGTTCACTAGATGTATGTATTAGCTTGTGCTTTGCAGTGAAGTCCTGCCTGGTGATGCTGAAAAAAAATATTACTTATGCTGCTGTCTTCCCTCTTTCCCCACCAAACCATAACAATCAGTTTTAGAAGTGAGAGCATAACTCTATAACTTGAAACTTTTAGCCGGATGCATTGATGATATGGAGAGGAGAAAAAATTGCTGTCTTTTGAGCTTCCTTGCTGTGCTGTGCTGAGGAACAGCTGCGATTTAACCCCTTTCCTGCCCGCCGTTCCCTGACTTTTCCCCACTGGAGGGAGAGATTGCATGTGGCCGAGGGGAGGGGGACAGTGCTGGTGGATGGGTAACGTGTCAGGGAAAGGGAGCCCATCCCAGGGCCGGCTGGTGGCTCCTGCCAAGTCATGAATAATTTCAAGTGACATGCCAGCCTCACGGTACAGGCTGGCGGTGACAGGGTAAAGGGCATGGTCCTCCCAGGTCTAAATAGGAGGTATTGATGGTGGAGAAGGCTGCCTCTGCAGAGATGTGGGGACGAGATGTTAGGGTCTTGGTGCTGTGCACAGTGTGGCCCTGCTTGGGGACGTGTTGTTTGCCTGTGGAGAGACAGGGTCAGTGATTATGAGCCTGGGACCTGCCATGAATGCAATTGAGTATGCAGGTTTTTTTTTCCCTAAGCAGACTTCAGGAAAATATATACTGACATTTTAGCACAGTTTTGGGAGGTGTTAGATTAAGAACTCCCAGCAAATAAATTTGTGTTTAGGTATTTAAAGAAAAGATTTCTCTAAACAGCTATGAGAACATCTCCCATAAATGTAATTCCTTGCCAGTCAGAGGATTGTCTGAACACCTGAACTGTTTGGGGTTTGCTATATTAACCATGCTGGGTAACCCTCCAAAGAGTGGAAAGAGCAGGACCTCACCTCACCCTTTTTGTTTCTCTTCTGACTGAAGAGATATCTAAGAGTTTAGCAATGTTTCACAGAGCGAGAGCCTGCCCTTGCTCAGGAGGAGAACTTCCTCCTGAGATTTTTGCTGTTACAAACCAGGGGAGAGTACGGATTATAAAATAGCAGCATGTCACATTTTCAGTCCTCCTGTTTATTTGGGGATTCTGGAGGTCAGATTATTTCTTCTTCAGGCAGCACTTGTAGCATCCCAGGTTTGAAATAGCTTTTTCACTAGAAAAAGTTGACACACAAAGACTGGAGAAAGAGTGAGCTGGACTGAATTAGCGTATGACCAAGGATGTGAGAAAAGCCCAAGTGAATGTCATCAGCGTCCAATCAGCATCCAAGACATATGTCTCATCTCCTTTGGGGAGGTCTGGAACCCCACCAAAGTCACTACTTTTTGAAGATCAAGGTCTAGCCCCTCTCATTTTTACAGCAGCTACCAGCAGTAGTGACATTTAGATGCCCACATGAGGCAAAGCTCAGTCACTTTCAGAGTTCCCCCCTAGAAAACAGGCAAAACTCATTGTGTGCTTTCATGAGCTAATCTCCAACTCAAAGCAAAACAACTCTTAGTGTGGTGGTCACAATTTGCACTCACCAGCAAGCCAGGATAACCACTGGGTGAACAGATCTCCTGGGGCTGTGCTGGCTGTGGGGGTCAGGGCTTTATTTGCTTCATGCTACAGGGTGTCCCGGCTGTTGGGAAGACCAATGCACCCTGTGGGCTGCAAGTAGAGACCTGTGGAGAGGTGTTAGTGTGCCTACGGTTTGAGTCAGAGGTGAGACTTACCTTGGGGATTGTGGTGCGATGTTGAGCCACTGGCATATTCAAGTGCGGCTTGATTCCTCCCTGGCTCAAAATGGCTTTTGGTGCCCCCATGCTTTCTCTTAGGGTGATGGCAAGGACTGTGTGCTTGAGGCCTGTGGCCAGGCAGGCTCCTAGGGAATGATACTCATTTCCTGCACCCTCAGCTAAAAGCAGAAGGGAAAGAGGAGTCTGATGCCAGCAGAGAGGGTGGCAAAAGGGAAACCAGTGCTAGAAAGGAGACGTTGAAGCGGTGGCCCCAGAGCCTCCCAGCAAGAGAACACCTGTGGAACACTAGCCATGGCTGATGCACCATGGGAGTAATGCAAAGCATATGTTTGAGAGGCAAAATGCAGGAGGTACAGTATGATGCTGCATTTACTTAGTTCATGTGCTGTGATGTCTCCATGGAGGTACTTGGTGCCCACTAGGACATGAGACAGAGATGGCCAGGAGCTGCTGAGCTGGAGTTTCTGGGTGTGCAGGTCACAGGGTGCTGCTGATGAGCTGTGGCAGGGAGTGTGCTGAGGACTGGCCTCCAGAGAGCTGTGGGAAACTGGTCCTTGAAGGAGGACCTTTGGCTAGGGCAACATATGTGTGGCTGGACCTCCTATGGGCTGGCTCTTGGGTTACTGTGGGAGGCTGCATGAGGGCATATAGGTAGGGGATGGATGACCCACATGCTGCTCAAGAACAAACCTCATGACAGAAAATGACTTCCCAAAAGTCATTTATTCATACAGAAATGAGCAACAGAACAGAAAGATGTGGTGTAAAATACCAGAGCATATTTGTTTTAGTACTACTCAAGTGCTCTTTCTAAAGGACTTGATTAGTATTCAGAATCAAGAACTTAAAAAAATCTATTATCGAGACCTTTTTAGCAACATTAGAGATAATGGGCAAAGCTCATTCCTAGTGTTACTCCTTTGGAATTATACCAGGGCTGGATTTGACCCCACAGTTGTTAATGCAGGATGACAGAAAAATGAAGGAAAATTGCTAATGTGTTAAATAGACCTTGACAAATGAAAGATTTTTTTTTCTTCTTTATTAGTGGTTTCTTGCTGAAAATCAAGTGCTTTCGTACATTACCATGAATGAAAAGGAACTTATTTAGAGAAGCAGCTAGAGTAAAATGCTACCAAGAAAAACCATACAAGGCAGTCTGAATTAAACCAGTTCAAAACCTGACCACCTAGGTATGTGAGGATAGCACAGGCCAGGGATTGAGTTCCCCATCCTGTGGAATAAATGTGGGCAGCGATCCACTAACAGGGAGCAGAGGAGCCCTCTGACACTGAAGGGGTCCCCCCTGAGGAGTGCCTGGCACTGGCCCTTCCCTCCTGTAGCTCCTGCAGAAGGAAACAGTAAAGCTCACATTGCATCAGAAGGGTTTCACCATGAAACCCAGATAAAATCTGGTAGTTTGAAATGCATTTCAGATTAAATACATGGGAATTAGTCAGAAACCAAAGGTAAGGTTTATGGACAGAAACCATGGAGCCTACATGATGTAGCATTTCTGCTTCAGCTTCAGCAACCTATTCCCTGTAAAATACCCCTGCTGCATTGTTCACAACAGGCAAATAAATGCAATTAAAACCAGTGAGGGTGGTATTTGTTTCACCTACCTATAGCCATCTACAGTCCAGGTCAGAAGCAGTTGCTCAGCTCCTCTGTGAGACCTGTCCTGAGCAGCTGAAACTGCAGGCTGGACCACCCTGTCAGTCTCTTCCTTTTGGCTGTTTTAACAGAGCTTGGACAAACTCTTCACAGATCCAACCAGGAGTGCGGGACGCTTTTTTTTTTTTTTCTTTTCTTTTTTTTTTTCCCCATTTGTCTTGCCATCAGTTGGCTGCTTAGCTTTAGGCAAGTTATTTAACCTTGCTGAGATTTTGTTATTTCCCCTGTAAAGTGGGGTTAATAATGGCTATCCATCACCCCTTGCTTTCAGATCCTTGGATGAAAAGTCTTGCAGAAGCAGTAGATATTAATGGTATCCTTTTCATTCTTTTTCGTTAGCTTGTGGCCTTTTGACACCTAGAAGAAGAAAAGATGTCTTTCTCCTTGAAAAATCTGCTCTTAGATTATTTCCACTGTGATCAAAAGGAGAGAGTATCAGAGTTCTTGCAGGCAAGCTCTCTTTCAGCCCCATTTTGCAGACTCGGGCAGTTAAGAAAGTTACAGAAATCCTCATCAGAAATTATTATGCAGGATGTTTATTATTTCTGTCAAAGATATTTTAAATCCATATATATGTATAGATTTACATAAAATTACAATTTTAAAAAACATTTTTTTTTAATTTGTTTCTCAAGGAGCTTAAGGCAGCAACCATAGCTCCAGTTGTCATTTATTTTATTTCAAAAATGTCTCAAAAGATCTGCCACAGGCTGAGCCCCCAGCCCAGGAGCTCTGATGCTTCTCCCTGCTCAGGCCCTTCAGGGACACATTTCTCCAGGTTTTTCCCCAGGCCAGAGGGTCCCTGAGCTTTACCCAAGGGATAACCCTGACTTGTTGCTTTTTGGCATTATCATTCAAGCACTGGCCTCTCTGCCCTGGTGGAGTGAGGCTGATGCAGGGCTTTGTGGTGCAACAGGCAGGCAGACTTCTAACTGAAAAAGCAATTTAATTATTTTTCCTGGAGTCAGAAATGTTTATGTCTCTTTAAGTTTTTATACTTTTTAAAAAGAACCTTTAAAAAATTTAAGCCAAAACCTTCATCAAAGAAAATAAATTCTTTGCTTTGAGCATCTCACAGACAAGGATAGGTGAGACAAATGAAGATTCCACTATAGCTGGAAAACCCAGTTGTGAAGGACAGTTTGCAGGAGACAAGGGGTGAGAGAGAGTGCTTTGTATGGCAGCAGTAGGGAATGGCGCCTATGCTAAGTACAACATGGATAGCAAACAGACAGGACTATCTCTCAACGCTGTGTATCCCTATTAGATGTTGGTAATTGAGATGTTTCTTTAATTGATGAACTTCTGCATGA